CTCTGACGGGAATCTTACCCCATGACAATGTGTTGGAGAGCATGTTCCTCGTGCTAGTCTCAGTGCTGGCCGCCTATATAATTGGCAAACTAGCAGTGCGTTGTTTACCCTTTATCGTAGCGATCATTGGTGCTTGGGCTGGCTGTTTGCTATGCTGGGTGTAGGCGTACGACATAGCAGTCTGCCATCGTGATTCCTGGTCTCAGGATATTCGACGCTATCATGTCTCGTATGGCATCCGAGAGTGGTTATGGTGGAGGGGGTGGTGGAGGGCCAATGGAGCAGCATGAGAACATGGGCTTCAACCCTATGGATCCAGATGACGAGGAGACAATAGCATGGCTCATGGGCCCGAGGAGTGTCGATATCCTCAAACATGGTGGTGGTGCACAGCACTCCCTCTACACGGCAAGTGGAGGAGGGGGCATAGCACGGTTTATACTGTACATAGGTATGGCTGTACTATCCTTCATATTTGGTAAGCCTTATTGTTGGTGATGCCTTCCGTGTAATTATCATCTTGTTGTAGCTCTACTATCTCTCGAATCGATGGCTCCCTTCATAATAATGGCGACCGCATTGGTGGGGGCAGCTCTGATAGTCCAAGGCATCGTGAGCACCGTCTTTGCGTTTGGAGGAGTGTCACCATCACATACTTTATTAGACCTCATCATTGACTCACCATCGGGTAGGTGGGATACCATACCAACAACTCCACTGTGGTACCTTTTCAGAGTGGTCAGATTGGTTCATACTCTTACTCTTGCTAGTCATATTTGCTTGGGGTGTGGCTGTACAGTCTAAGGACTACGAGAAGGTTATCATCACCACGATGTGCTTCACGTTAAATGAGGACGATCATATTATCTCAGGTTCTTTATAGAAGTAACAATCTCATAGCCTCTCCCCGACACACTATAGAGGAGCAGATAACCTCCCCAGTGCCTCAGCATCGAGCCCCCATCACACCAGTGGCAACAGCAGCAACAAGCAGTGCTGGTGGTGGTGCTGTATATCACAGACTGGATGACGGTGGTTGAGAACTTACTACTGAGTGGCTTGTTTCGACACTTAGCGTCGTCTTTGTTCT